GTTCTGGGTGCATGTACCCATACCCCGGTTCCGGTAATCATTAAAAATTAAAATAGAACTTAACGACTGCAGGATCGGCAAACAGATGAGTAGGGCTGGTCTCGTTATTTGACTACTTTAATACTGACCTAGCTACTAGTTTAACAATATCTAAATTTTATACCCACCTTGCCACTTTAGCGAAGTACGTCACACTGATAAACGACTTATTCGAAATGTTTCCGCATGAATAGTGTGTTTGGAATAAACCACATGCAATAATGCTAAATATCTCTATAAGTAAATGTACTCATGTAATTTTAACAGATTGATTCGAGTACTGTGAAAGAACACACCCAATGATTCCGGAGAAATGAAATAGTTCGCTGCCCATGTATGCCAAATACGCCAAGCCGAACATGATCACAGGTTCAACCACTAAACAAAACCGTTAAGAAAACGGCCAAATTAAAAAATATAAAAGGATAGAGCACATGGTTCCCATCGATATTGTTTCCGGATCTGCCGTGCATTCACCTTCATCCAGGATCACTATGGAATCTTAATGAAGGCATGGTCCCCGGCCCAGTAGTACAGGATTATTGTTTTTGCCTCTCATAGTAAAGTGGTATCGGAAAGTTGGAAGTTCAATAAGTTTTGGAGAGACTTGTTTCAAAATTTCAACTCCTCTTTGTGAATATGGTGTCACCTGCCGCTGTTATCGGTGCCCTACTGTCGTTTCCACACTACTAACTACTAGCCGCTCTTTACTGCTTCCCTAGCCGATCAAGGAGAACAACTGCAGGTCAGACTTGCACTCATTACTAGAGAGGAACGAGTTGTGCAAAGTAGTACGCTCCAAAGCGAAACCGCGACGCATCATGGTTTCGGGACTCGCGAGTGTTGATTGAGTCAATAAATCTACATGACCGACTTGATTTCGCTCGGTGCAGATCAGGGCTCTAGTCCTCCAACTTTGCCCTACGTACTCAGAGTTCTCGATTAACTTTCCCCAGTTGGACGGGAGTAAAAAACCAGTTCAGCCCATGAAAGACCGTGCCGAATATAATGGAGGATCATTGGAACAGGTAAAGCGAGTGCGTTAATAAGGTGGGATCGCTTTTCCGATATGCGCCACGCCTTCACCTTTCATTCAGAGTCGACACGGCGGTTTGGGTGCAAGTTCATCCTATGCAAGGCAAGCCAATGACTGGGGCAGCACTTCTCTTCTCTCAAAGAGGTCTGCTATCATTGATTTATTCAAAAAGCTAGAACGTCTAACTATTGTGAACGAAACGCGGTGCCCGACTCAGCTCATCACTTTTGTGAAGTAGAGACGTTGATACCTCGTACTCATGGAGATGCGACCCTAAGAATATTCACCTATACCTCCTATATATACAACCCCTAGGTTGTGTTCATCGCTGGACTTAAAGGCACTGTTCACGAAAAAGTGGTTTCGGAGATTTGCACATG